CTGGAAAGAAGCTGTGTCTTGGCACTGCTAGTTTATGTCAACTTGACAGAAGCTGGAGTCATCTGAGAGCAGGGAACCCCAATTAAGAAAAGCTGTCTACCAACCAACAGGCTGAGGGAGCTGAGAGTCGGCATCTGAGATGTAGCTACGCTGATGTCCACCAACCAACAGGCTGAGGGAGCTGAGAGTCGGCATCTGAGATGCAGCTATGATGACCTGACTTGGCTGTAACCCACCTCCCTGATGTCACCCCCAATATTTAAAAAATGCCTTGATTTGTGGTTTTCTTTTGTTCTGTGACTACAAAACTTTATGAAACCCTCTCCATGTGGGAATGCGGTGTTTAGTTGATGTGTTCCTAGGTCACACATCAACTTCTTTTGAACAACATTTTTATATTTTAAATGTTTGGGAGAGGGGGAGGAGTCAAGAGAGTCATTTTTTTTGTATAAAATTAAAATTTCAGATTTCTGAAGTTTCGTGGAGACTGTTTGGCGCTGTAGTTTACACACGTGCAGGGCTTTTCCTGTGGAAGACACCGCCCATCCAGCTCTTTTCTCGGAAGGCTCGTGGGCTCCCACGCGCAGACACCCAGAAGAAGTCGAGCGACCCCTAGCGATGTGGCCAGTCGCGTGGAAGCCAAGAATAAAACATTTTTCATTTTGTCTCCGCGGTGGTTTGTGTTCCAATTTTTGGGCGGGGGAATGGAAACATAAGACGAAACACTGATTTTTCCCTGTAGGTACCCTGTGTTTTCAGAGTCGGTGAGTGTACCGCAAGCGCTCCCGCGTGGGACCCCAGAAACTCAGTCTTGCAGCATTCAGCAGCCAGGGTGGCGCGAGGCCCCGCCCAACATGGTGACTGACGGCGCGCCGAAGATGGCGCTTTGCTGACACCTGGTGGCTGCTCGGGGAAATGACTCCCAGATGAACTGAGAAAGGTGATGGTCCTTGGGGACCAGAAGAGGCTTCCAGGACAACTAGGGGGATGGACATGAGAGGACAAAAGTAGTGGGCAGACAACACCCTACTGCGACAGACAATGGGAGGGGAGGCAGGCACTCGGACCAGTTACTAGTCCTGTGTTGAAGGAAGGCTGCTTGTTGGTTGCCAGCTGCTTAGCCCTGGAATAATCACACAGAAACTGTATTCATTAAATCACTGCTTGACCATTAGCTCTAGCTTCTTATTGGCTAACTCTTACATCTTAATTTAACCCATCTCCATTAATCTGTGTATCGCCACGTGGCAATGGCTTACTGGGTAAAGTTCCAGCAGGCTCCAGTGGGGCTACATGGCTTCTCTCTGACTCCGCCTCCTTTTTCCCAGCATTCCGTTTAGTCCACTGCCCCCCAGCTCTGTTCCCCTATAGCTCTGCTATAGGCCCAAAGCAGTTCCTTTATTTATCAATGGTAATCACAGCATACAGAGGGAAATCCCAGACCCAAGAGAGCCTGTGTCCTGCTGAATTCACACACCAGATTTCCACCCTGCCCCATGGAAGCCCATTCTTTACATCCCAAGTGCCTCAATGAAAGACTGTGTTTTCTGAAGATGACCACCACCAGATGTCCTAATGACTGGTGGGAACTGTGTTCCTTCCTCCCAAACCTGGGCAACCCCACATGACCCTGACTCCTCTGGAGAATGGGGAGCCAGTCACAAAGATGACAGTCACTTGCATCTTCTTCCTGGGGCACCCACTCCTGAAAACCTTGGGGTGGGGAGGCCAGCGCACCAAGAAACACCCACCTGGGGGTGTCTAAGAGGTCCAGCCGGCAGCCACATTCAGCCTGTGAGCCCTTCCCTGCTGAGAGTCATCTTTGACAACCCATGTGAGATTAGCTGACCCCCTGGGTGCCCCCAGATTAGCAGATCTTGAAGCAAAGAATGTCTGTTGAAGTTTGACCACTCGCCTTGTGAGAGGCTGACCGGTCAATGAGAAGCCACGCTCTCCCTGGAGCCACCCACCCCTCCTGCTATCAACACACATCCCTAATCTCTCAGGACCCGCATCTCAAGATTCCCACATGCCCAGCGGGGGTGGAGGTGGGTGGGCGGACGACTCACTATGCCTCTTGCTTGCCCCACTTTCCCATCTGTTCCCTTTGCTGAGACTGTTTCTCACCTCAATTTCACCCGGAAAATTCCATGTCTCTAAACATTTCACCTCTTGGGAAGCCCTCACCTGGTCCAGGGATGTCTCCTTTCTCTTGCCACTGCCATGTGAATGTGCTGGGACAGAGAACAAGACAGGTGTTGTTTTGGAGGCTGAGCATCTGATACTGAAGTGCCAGGGGCAGTCCACTCCTGCAGGCTGCAGGGAGCCTGTCCCAGCAGCTTCAGGACTTCCTTTGGTAATAAAAGCAATGCATCCTTCTTAGTGCAGTGTTAGTCAGGGTTCCCAGAGGGAAAGAACCAACTCTGTAATGAAGTAGTGAAAGACACAATAAAAGAGATTTATCCCTGTTGGCTCACACAGTCAGGCTAAGTAGTATAACAATGACCCCTCACATACTGGACAAATAGAGAACCCAGAAGCCACTCAGTCCACAGGGATGCTAGAGAATCCCTGCTACAGCTCTGCAGTCCAGGAGGGCCTGTGGTGAGTCTTCAGAGAAGGGCTGAAGCCGCCGGAGTCTGGTGTCCAGGCAGGACAATGGCAGCAGCAACAGACACTCACTCAGATGGGCAAAAGCAGGTGGGCCCACCCTGCTTCCCGCAGTGGACCTCTTATTAGGAGGCGCTGCCTCCCCTTAGAGAGTGACCATCATCATTTTCAATTGTTCCTTCCTGGACATTCCCGCACAGACTCATTCAGAGTGTGTCCCGAGGGTGATTCCAGTCCCATCAGGTTGATCATGAAGACCAACGATTACACACAACCCGCCATGACTTTGTGTGTTCATGTCTGTGTTTCCCCTTTGCATAACGACGCCCTCATGTTGGATTAGGGACTCCCTACTAGGGCACTGTTGTGTTACATTTGCAGCAAGCAACTTCCAAAGAATGTCCCCCATTATGAGTTCCTATGGCCAGATTTGCACCTTGTGAATAATGCAGCTTCATCCATAATAATTACTGTGGCTCAACTCCCATCTTTAGACCCAGGAAGAAAGCAGCGCCTTCACAGCGGTGGTTGAAGAAGGAGCAAGGACATGAGCGTTATTAGAATGCACTGATTTGCTCCTGCTGTGGGTTGAATGGCTCTCCCACAGCTCAGGCGCTGCAAGTGAACCTCCGGTGTGGTGCTTGGACCTTTAAGGAGAATCAGGGCTGAGAAACTCGAGAGGCTCCGTGGCTAAAAGCACTGGCTGTTTTTGCAGAAAACCTGGGTTTGATTCCCAAAATCCACACTGTGGTTCCAACCATCGGTAATTCCAGTGTGGGGATCCAGTGCCCTCTTCTAACCTCCTCAGACACCGAGCACACATGAGATGCACACATGTGCATGTAGGCAAACACTCGTACACATAAAGTGAAATAAATAAGGCTAAAAACATTTTAATCTTACAAAAAGAGGCAGGGTTTAGAGCGGGGTGCTAAAGCTACTGGGACTCCATCATTGGAAGCCATGAATCGTATCTGGTAGGGTGAGGGACATCATTCACAGAGTGAGCTTGGCCCCTTCTGTACACAATTGGCTCCCTTCCATTGCTCGACCCTGTCACCCTTCCAAAGGAACCCTGTGTCCAGAGGTGCTGCCTGGTCTTGAACTTCCAGCCTGTGGAACCACTGTCTCTCTTCATGAGTAGCTCGCCTCTGGCATTTTGTTACAGCGACAGATCAGAGACTGATAGGCCTCCGCTGTTTCTCATTTTTCCATGTTGGAGGAGGTGCTTCAAAAGAGTTTAAATGACCAAGAGTGTCCAAGCATTCTCCAGACTAACCTTGGGGGCTGTCACCCCACCTGCAAAGCAACGGTCTGATACCAACAAGGTCAGAATACACAGGAGATGACAGGGACAGAGCAGACAGCCTATGAACAGAATCCTGTGGGGTTCTTCAGTGCCCTGCACTCTTTAGTGGCTGCTCCGAGTGAAGGAAAACCAAAGGAGAAGCTGGGTTTTAATTCATTCAAGGCACAGAAATAGTAAGAACGTGAGCACCGAGAGCAAAGGTCTCAAACACTCATGGGCACTGGAGACTGGTTCTGTGTCCTGGGGTTGGGAAGAACATTTAAGGACTATGAAAACCATGGGACAGGGGCGGCTTGAGATTTGAGCTCGCCATGTTTTAAAATGATATTCAGAGCTACCAGAAGAGGTGAAGAGAGACCCAGCATCCACCTTGAGAAGGAGACACTGCCCTCACACACCTGTTTTCTCCTTCCCTGCTCATCCCTCATGGGAACAGCGCAATTCTTAGAGGTCACCGGGGATAGAGCCTGTGAGTGAGGCCTTCACAGCCTCCCTCCTCCTGTGATGTGACCTCCTAGCTGGACTCCAGGACATCCACACAAGAGAGCAAACCAACCCAAGGACAGAGTGAGGAGCAGGGAACCTGAGCACGTGCAGACATGTGGCTGAGCTTCTCCCCAGATGTGCTGGACACCGCAGGGCCTTGGATCCACGGCAGATACAAAAGCCAGTGCCCTGGTCTGTAGTGATGACAGACAGTGAGGGTGACAGAAAGTGGACCAGGCACCCGTCACCCACCCCGGGGAAGACCATACAAGGCCACACTGGACTTGGCCGTGGAGTGGTAAACCAGATAGACAGAGGCTCAGAGAGGTTGCCAGTGTGTTCTAGGTCACACCGCTGTGGAATGAATGGCAGAGATGTAAGATTCCATGGAGGCTTATCAGAAACCTCAGCCCAGAAGCCTGCTATCTGCTCCTCTCCCTCCCCTCCATATGCACACGTGCACACACATGTGCCCCAGGTACACCATCAATAAAAGACCCACAGCAGACATGTTGCAAGCCACACTTTATTCACTCTGGTATCAGGAGGCCCCGGGATGGTGGGCCTGGCCCCTGGGGAGGGGGAGGTTGGGGCTCTAGCTGGAGGGGTGGAAGGTGCCTCTCTGGTGCCACTGCATGTCACGGATGCGACGCACAGACTGAACCTGGGGGTGAGGGGCCCCAAAGTCGCTGTTGTCCTTGTAATCCCCCTTCTCCAGCAGGTACTGCAGCCCACGGTAGCCAGGGTACTGGTACCCAACCCACCTGCAGGCAGAGGTGTGGGGCATGTGAGCTGAAAGGAGACACAGGTGGGGGCGTCCTGACACCAGGAGGAGGAGGAAAGGCCTGGATGTCACTCTCCGCCCCACCCTCTGACCCTGAACCTGCGCTTACTTCCTTCTCCTGATAGGGAGCTCACTACCTCACACAACAAACCTTAAATTCCACAAAATCTTAGAATCATACGGGCCCCTGCATCTCCTCGGGACATTCCCATCTTGACCCAGTGCCTAACAGCAAGGCCTGAGGAAAGGGAGAGAGGATGGAACTCCATCACCCACCCACCTTTAGAGCCTTCTCCAGACAGCGTGTCACTAACTCCAGAGCACTCGATGAAAATGACAAATCTTCCCCAGCCCAAGCCGAGGGACTTGTCCAGAGGACGCTTCCCTCCGTCCCTGCCCAGCATCCCTGTGTTCCATCCTCTGCATCAACCTCAGAGAGCAAGAACGCCCTTAAGGGCCTCCTCTCCCTCTCACCGCAGGGCCGCCTCACGCAGTTTTCTTTGGATGCCTTTCGGGCCCTCTCTGCCCCGCAAGTCCTACTCTTGTCTTCAGATACAAGCCCAGGAGCCTCACAGAAGCCCCTTAGATTTGTGTGGACTCTTAGATAACTGACAGTTGTACCTCTGGAGGACCCCATCTGCCTTCAAATCTGGAGTACCTGGCACAGGGCGTGACACTTGGCAGTGGTGAGCAAATTAAATCAGCCAAGGACAGATGCCGGCTGTACACAGAGGTTTATATTGGTGGGGCTTGACAAACCCTAGGAAACCAGGGCACATGGTCAAGCTCGCTTTGTTGGGGGAACCAACACCATGATTTAAAGCGTCCACCAGTTTCTGTGGTGTGAACAGTCAAGAGGGCTGACTGCGAACTGCCACTTGCTAGGGACCTGAATCCAGACAAACTGATCATCACCCTGATTCTCTCGCAAAGGCTTCTGGGACCACAGCACTCAGCAGCAGTGGCGGAGTGGGCCAGGGGTGGGCCGGGAAAGCACAAGGCAGGACGCTAGGAGAGAAGCACTGAGGGTAACATATGGAAGAGGCAGGCTGGTGACCCCCTGAGAGCTTAGGCTGCATGGGGCAGAGCCTGAGGAGAGGCGCCTGGCACTGGAATGTGGGGTGACTCAGGAAGAACCAGACCCCCCATCCCACCCTGGCCACTCCCATTTTTAGAGTGCTCTGCTCTTTCTTAGTACAATGCTTGTTTCTACCACAAATAACTCCACTCCCAGCCAGGCGTGTGTATTGGTCCTTGGTGTCTGTGAGCATGACCTAAGGTACGGATCCAACACTGACAGACTCTCGTGTATGTATGTGTGTGTGTGGGGGGGGTATTCACCCATGTGCAGATGAGGCTCTCAGAAGTCACAGAAGGACATTGGGTGACCGGCTCTGTCCTCCTTGTTCCCTTGATACAGGGTCTCTCACTGAACCTGGAGCCAAGCTGGCATCCAGCAAGCCTCAGCCATCCTCCTGTCTCCACCTTCCACAGCTCTGGGGTGACAGGTATGATGTGGGCCACACTTGGCCTTTTACACAGTTGTTGAGGATTTGAACTCAAGTCCTCATGCTTATGCAGTAAGTGGTCTTAACCGCACCACCCTCTAGGTGACTTCTTATCCCTGCCCTACTGTCCTCACAGTGTTATGAAAACAGTCATTACACTGTGTTGTTGAGCGCAGCAACAGAAAAACTCGTCTGTGTTTAGTTTGGGTCCACGTGTGTATGTGGGTTCGTGTGGATGTGCATGTGTGTGTTTCCAGAATGTTTCACCCATAGCTGGTTAAAGCTCAGCAACAGAGCTGTGGGTATAGGATGACGACTGTATGCGCCACCCAGCACACATTGCCTGAGGATCTGCCTAGGACCTCACGTGTGCTTCCGCTCACAGTGAGATTTCCACGGCCAAGGTCATGTGTCAAAGTGGAATTCCTCCTTGAGTCTGTTCACAGGCTCAGGGGCCTGCAGGGGCAGAAGCTCCAACTTCTTCCCTCTGAGCTAAGATCTTTCCATTCATGGCACCTGCTGCTTCCACCTGCCCAGGTAGATGCTGGGAGTTGGGATGGGCTCACAGCCCAGGACAGAACCTCCTACAGCCCACAGGCTGGTGATTCCCACCCAGGATCTGAGGGTGGGTGCAAGACAAAGCAATGACTCTCCCCAAACCCAGTGAGCTCAGGGCAGAAGAGGACTTGGGGTCCCAGAGGCTAAGTCTGGGGTCACACTCACGTGCCGCTCTGCACCCGCACAGAAGACACCTTCTCCTGGTACCCATGGGCATGGAAGCTGGGCACATCGTCATCTACAATCTCCATCTTCTTACCAGTAAAGTTGGGGTTCTCATACAGGATGATCTTGTGCTCTTGGCTGTCCTGTGAATGGAGGGGTGGATGAAGCCTACCCCCTTCACCCCTTCACCCACCTCTGCCAATCACCCACCTCATGGTGGGAGGTGGGATGAGCACCCTGACTGGTGACTGGATGCTTATGGAGTGACTGGCATGGGACAAGAAATCTCAGATCTTGCGCTCAGGGAGCATTTTGGTCCTGAGATTCCAGGTCCCCTCCCTCCACCTTCGCTTTCTGTTTTATAAACAACAGCACCTGCCTGCACACAGACAGCATGCAGGCGTCCGGTGTCCCCAGCAGGTGCAGGGTCTCCCACCATCTCCAGATCTACTGTCCCAGTGAAGTTTTTCTCAATTATTATTCCATCCTCTCTGCAGCTTTTATACCATATGACACACAAGAAAACTGAGGCTCAGAGAGGTCAAGTGACTCTCCCAAAGTCACTCAGCTAAGAGGAGCAGAGTCAACATAAGAGCTCACGTCTTGGGGAGATCCAATCTTCTACAGAGCTCCGGGAGGTACAAATCTGGCTTTGGAAGGTTTGGGCACATAAGTGAGCATTGCTGAGTCCTTTTGCTACCCAAAAGTTCATATGCTAGTAAGAATCAGGATCAGAAATAGATTAGAAGCTCACATTAACTGAAGTATCTTCTCCTTCCCCCAAACCCCAGGATTTCTTTAATACTCATTATTGCTAACTGAGCCTGGCCCTAAGAGACACACCCACAGGAGTTGTCCTGGGAATGGCAGCCCCTGGAATTGTGCTAGGAATGAGGGAGTCTCTGGTAGCAAGAACTAAAGTCCTAATCGCAGGTGATCAAACAGAGGTTCAAGGAGGCCAAATGCCTTTGACCACACCCCACAAAGGAGGTCCTTGGCCAGAGCACAGTGTAGGCGGAGAGTCTGCCGGACCCCGCTCCTCTGGCTCCAGTGCAGGTGTAAGAGAAGGCAGGAAGGGCTTACCACTTTGATGGGCCTCAGAGAGCTCAGGGAGTCTGTCCTCCGGCTGCTGGTCCAAGAGTCCCAGCGTGGGTATTCGCCCTTTTCAAACACAAACTGCTCGCCCTTGCAATTGGCCTGCTCATAGCCCACCCAACTGCAAGACACAAGAAAAGGTCTTTCGCTGGGCATTCCATGGCCAGCAGGGCCCTGGCACTCAGCTCCTCTGCACTGGCCCCACTGAAACCCAAATACAGAGAGGCTAAGCACAAGGGGACCTCGGTTATCCAGAACCCAGGCCCCACTGCCCTTGACCTCCTGCAACACATGGGAGAACTAAGCAACCAGTCTGAAGGACAGCTTGGCCACAGATCACAGTGCATACACCCAGTACCCTAAGGCCAAGAGGATGCTGGGAAAGTAATAACCAGTTTTGAGTGTAGAACAAGAGCCCCACGATCCTATCTATCTAGTGCTGCTGGCCGGTGTCCACAGTGTGCATGCCTCAGCCTAGAGACGACAAGTAGACAAGGTGACCTCAGCCAGGCGTAGAGAGGGGAGAGCACCATCAGCTGGCCACTGAGCACAGCTCTGGGACTCAAGGTCATGCAGGTCACAGCTTCTTCCACAGCAGGTTCCAGACTCAATTCTTCCCGCTGTCTCTCTACTTGCCTTTACACAGGGTTCTAACGTCTAGATTCATGGTACAGAGATGTCCAGTGACCGCTCTGTGCTGGTGAAAACCTGGACTGCAATCTAACGAAGCTCGAGTTGCATCTCTACAATGGCCACAGCCTCCTGTGCACCCTAAATCACCTTCAGGGGACCTGGGACACCAGATGCCTTGCAGGCACTGTGCAAGGACTACTGTACCCCACTTCAGGGAACAGAAGACTGTGAGCGCACGCTTGCTTGGAGCAGATGGGGTTCCCCCCCCAGACACTCTCGGCTGTGTGACACCTGTGGATGTAACAGGGTTCCCTGTAATCCATAGCACTCTCTTGGGAGGGCAAGACCCACAAGATAAATAGGGAAGAGGAAGGGGGGACCTCGAGTGGGGAGTTTCCGGGGCTCTCCATGGCAGAAAGAGACACTCTCCTCCTGTGTGGCAGTGGTGGCCGTTCAGATCTAAGTTCTCGGTGAGAGAGGCATCTGTCTCTGTCTCACGCACTTAAAGGATGACTTACAAGCAGCAGGTCCAGTGAGCGGCTCTAGGTACTGTGTTCTTAAGAACAACAGTTAGAGCTCAGGCACGCTGAACAAAGCTATTCATTGTGGCGGTCTTACAACACCCAACAGCCTGGAGGGTGGATAAATTAGGGAACACGTACAAAGCCACCATACACAACGACAGACAGTTTGGGTTCACAAACTCAGCTGGACATAAATACAACCAGGATTTGGCTTGAGGTGGCTTCCTGAGCCCTAAGCCCAGGAGTCTGCGGTGGAGCCCGAGTAAGTACCTTAAACAGACTGTTCTGCCACCGTGAAGGGTGACTTCTGACAGGGGAGGCCCTGCTGCCTGCCACCGTGAAGGGTGACTTCCGACAGGGAGGCACTGCTGCCTCTGTGCGTTCCACAGACACCGCACGATTATCACCCCAATGTACTATTTTTCAAAAAACTCACAAATACATGCACAGGAAAAAGTCTACATTTATACCAAAATCTTAATGATGGATATTTCTGATGGGTAAGCTGAAGTCAAAATTGGGAGTGGGGGGAAACACAACTCTTTGCTGAGTTATTCCTTTCTAATATTGGGTACAGATTTTAAGCAAAAATTATTTTTCTTCCCAGAATTCTATCACCAGGGACTTCAAAACCCACCTGAACTAAGTAGTGAGACCCTCAAAACCAAAACAAAACAAACCCAGAAAACAATTTTAAAATAGTTTTAAAAATCAAGACATATTGTATATAAAACAGTTTTATAGAGAAGGGATAACTCGGTGGTGGGGCTGCCTTGCATAGGTGAAGCCCTGGGTTCCGCCCTCCATTACCCCCCTCAACACACACAAGTAACCAAACACGCTAAAACTTACTTTCAATTTTAAAAATATGTTTGGGAAATTCTTCCATCAAAATGGCAAAAGGGGATGAGGTCAGATGTGCTCGAAATGGTGGAGGCCCGTGTTCCAGAGAGGCAGAGCCCGGCTCCCTGTGCGTGCTAACAATTCTGCCTATACAGGGCCATTAGACTCAGACATCACACTCGACACCTGGCTGGTACAGGACTCCTGTACCCCGAGAACTCACAAGACATTTACAAAGGAGGGCTGAGGAGAGGAGAGACACACGGCCCTCATGTACCTCGCGGATGATGAGGAGAAAGGCAGTCCCCAAAATTACATCCCCTTTCTCTTGAGCAGAGACAGGGCAAAGGTGTCCACTACACAAAGGAGACTGAGTATCAGAGAGGGAAGTCCATGGTCAGACACATCACAGCCTAGAAGTTTCCTAGTGGGGGTTTAAACCCAGCCTCCTAAGCACAAACTCCCTCTCGGATGCCAAATCCCAAGTCTTGCCCCCATCATACACAATCTAGGAGCACAGGAATATCAGACACCCCCAATTCAACATCCCAATTACCAGACTGACAGTTCTGGGCTAGGTAAGAGCACTCAGATACTCACGGTCCAGCCTGCACCAGGATGGAGCCTGCCTTCTCCATGCCAGTCTCCTTGAGGTTGGGGCAGGGCCCGCTGAGCTCGTGGGAGTGACCCTGGAAGTTCTCCTGTTCAAAGATGATGATCTGGAAGGAATGGGAAAGTGGGAAGAACAAGAGATGAGCAGCCAGCTTGGAGAGCCCTGGGACTGCAGGCCTCTGCTCCTCTGAGTCAGAACAGGCACAGAGCATAAGTGAGGGCCAGAACTCGGAGCCTGGAGGCACTGCTCTATGAGCCTCAGTCTCCCTGATGACAAGATGGGTGGAAGAACCAACCAGAGGTAAGGAAGCGGTCAGAATGGCAGGCACAAGGGGCCGCTCAGCCGTGAGAGACATCATGGTGTTCTCTCATTTATATCCGTGGAGTGCTAGAGATGAAACCAGGACCACTCCACACATCCAGCAGCCGCTCTTCCGCTAAGCAATACCCCAGCTTCCCACAGCGCATCATCTAGGGTAGCTGCTATGGATCAGGGGTGGGTACACGGCCCGGACTTGTGTGATGCAGCAGAAAGCAGTGGGCAGTATGCAGACTGAACATGAGAACCAACCTGGGATCTTGACAAAAGGGAGGCTCAGGGCACTGGTTCTAGGGTTCTGTACCCCATTTTCCAGATGTCACTCAGCTTCCAGGAGTGCCCCTCTGCCTACACCACACACATTCCTGGGCCCCTTTCCCCAAGCCTCTACCCATGGAGGTTTCCAGGTCTCCCCATGGCCTCCCATATGAGATGGCTCTTACTAGAAATCCTTCCCCTTGCCTCACCCTGTTTCCCTGTCAGCCCTAGGCAGGGGCCTGGCAGGAATCCAGACAAGGATCCTGAGATTTGCAGAGTGAAGGGACCCACTCAAAGCCTCACAATCATGAGCTAAACATGGACAGAGTCCACACTTACAACTGTACTGAGAACAGGGACCCTTTCCAGTCACTCAGCTCTGTCCCCCAGAGGCAGACGCTTGCAGCCACCTCTGGATGAAGAAGTGGACAGGAGAGGGGTGAGGGGTGGTGCAGGGCCTGTGAGTCAGCACTGGCTGGAGAAGGCACTTCCGTTTTCCAGGCTGAGGATTAGCGGGATAAAGGGAGCAGAAGCAGTGGCTGGGAGGGCTCATGGCAGATTCCCTGGGCTCAGTTCAGCCTTCGCAGTCCCTGACCGCTCCAGGCACAGCAGCAGGCTTTGGTTCCCCTGCTCTGTGTAGTCCAGGGAGGAATTGGGCAGAAACCTGTCTGCAGGCGTATTGAGAAGACTCTAGAATATGGAAGTCAGCGGGGGAGGGGGCTCAGTGGCTATTACCTGGCCTAGGCTATAAGGGCCAGTGGGGAAGGGTCAGGCTCCCTTTGCCACACACTACCCAGTGCAGAGCCACCAGCTGCATGACCCGGGACATGCAGTCAGTGCTAACACGTGCTGTTCAGAGGAAACACGGATCTGAAGACTGCCAGAGTGGGAGTGAACTGTTTAACTAAGGAGACTATGAAGATTAATCACCTGTTGCTTTTGACAATTTCTACTGTGACTGTTGGAAGATCTTAATTACATGTGTGATTCACAATATACATGCGATATCTCCGTGTATCTGTGACATCATAAAACGTGGGTGACATCCCTGTATATGTATGTGATGGTGCAGTGTATTATGACATCACAGTGCATGTGTGACATCACAATATGTGTGTTTCGCATCATAGTACTGCACCCAGCCACATCATTTTTCTTCAAAGTCAACCAACCCATTAGGGCCTTTGCCCATGCTGACCCCACTGCCCCGCGCCCTCACCATTCCCTGTCCCCTGTTTTCACGTGGTTGCTCCCTCACTTGGCCCCCAGGGAGGTCCCCCCCTTAAGCACCAAGCTGACACACCAGTTGCTGTGAACCCTAGCTCTAACCAACTAAGTGTTTAGTATTTTTCCTTCCTTGAGGACAGTCCACCTCAAGACAGCTTGCCGACTGTCACTCAGGGAAAGTGAAGTTCAAGAAGATGGAACGAGAAGGTGGGGCTGGGCCAGACTGGGTGTGACCAGCCTCTCAGAGGCTGGAATAAGCTTTCCCCGCCTCAGGAGTGTGGGAGTCAGAAAGGGAAGCAGTGATCTGAGCAGGCACAGACAGCGGGCGCGGGTGGAGGGCATAGGTAGAGGCTGAGCCTGGTTTCTGGGCCTGCACAATTGTTCTGTGTAGAGCAGATGCTCCCCATTGTGCCAAGCCACTGGCCTGGGCTGCACAGCAGGAGTGGGGCTGGGAATCCTCTCTAACTGGCTCTGAGTCTCTGCCCCATCTTGGGTCGCCCGTGGGTAATAGCACGCTGGGCAGCAGATAAGGAGGGAAAGGTAATTCTCTAAAATCTGAAGCTGATACTGAGCACTCGGGTGCAGAGGGGCACAGGGAATCAGCCCCAGGGAGTGTTCAGTGGGGAGAGACTGAGTCCTCTGGGGGTCAGGGTACAGAGGGCACCAGGGAGGATGCCTGCCCCTCCCTCCAGCAGGGTACCCACCTTGGGGTTGAGGGGCTGGGGCTTGCCCGCCTGTGTCTGGTGGTCTGAGGCCATGGTGGACTCTCTGGTGTCGAGGCGACCTGGAAAAAATGAGGAGGCCACATGAGAACCTTGCTGGTTCTCAACCTCAAGCTGCCAGAGGAGTGTGGGCCAACTCTGGTACAGCCCTCAGTCCTCTTCTTTTGCCTGGTTCCAGATTGTTCCAGAAGCAGCCACCCAGCCTCTGGCCTCCCCTTCACTATGATCCAGCCCTGCCCCAGGTGGAAGAACCCCCTTTTGGAAGAATCCTCCCCCATGGCTTCTCCCCTATTGCTAGACAACTGCTCTCTGGAGTCACGCTGAAGGCTCCCGCCTCTACTTCCAGCTCATCAAATTGTCTACCCTTAGGTGTTGAACTCAGCTGAGCCAGTCCAAGTGCTTGCTCTGCCTCCCAGCAGCTGAACGGCCGCCCATAAGTCCCACCCTCTCCCTGTGCCTCAGTTTCCTACTCTACACCAGGTACACAACGGAGGTGCCTCACCCTCTCTGTGAACTAGGACTCCATACAACTGTGTGCATCTGACAGGGCCCTGGAATGCTCTCTGCACCCAGGAGGGGACAGCCAGGGTGGCATGCTTAGGGTCATTTTCAGTGGGATTTAGTGACACTGAAGTCATGGTGCCCAGAAGCAGGTGCAGCTGGGTCCAGCCCACAAGGTTTCCCCGAGGCTTGAGCCACAATGATTAGACCCAAGAAAGCTGGTTCAGCACCCTAGACATGGCCAAGGTAGGACCACCTCCGGTTCACAAGCCAGGCGCACCTTCCTTCCCAATCTCCAGCAGAAGAAAGGCTGTATACAAGGTTAGCCTACTATGCTGTTTCCTAGCCCATGACAGAGGGGTTTAGACCACCCCTCTCCCCACTTAACAGAAGGGAAAACCGAGGCCAGGTGCTGGTCTCTGCACGATTTCCAACAAGAGGAAAAGAAGAGTAAAGGGCAGAGTAAGCAGCAGGACCTTCTTACCAGATTGCCAGCCCCCGCAAGTGCCGTGAAGCCCAGGCAGTGGGAGGTGGTATTTATACCTTCCCCAGGGGAGCTGCTGCCAAGATGGGTGACTGGTTCATCCCTGTGGAAAGCAGGGTGAGAATGCAAGCTAAGCTGACACCAAAGCCGGGTCAGCAAATGCCCACAGACATTGTGTCTCCACACAATAATGTCATTAGCTTTCAGATTCGGCTGCGCCAGTGTGTGCCCACTTTGCATGTATCAGCCGTCCCGCTGCCAGGACAGGGCCATGCCAGGTTCATGGGTTGCAGTCACCAGGCCCTGGGGCACAGCAGACGGGGGCCTTCTCAGTGATCCTGGGGGAAACCAGCAAAGAGAGACTTGAGGAAGAGGACAGCCTTCATCCATCCACCCACCCACACACTTGATGCCAATCCACCTACCCACCCACCCACCCACCCACCCATACACTGTCCTGGATAGTTTTATGTCAACTTGGTACAAGTTAGAGTCATCTGAAAGGAGGGAACCTCAATTGAGAAAATGCCTCTATAAGATCCAACTGTAGGACATTTTCTTAGTAATTGATATGGGAGAGGGCCTAGCCCATTATGGGTGGTACCATCCCTGGGCTGGTGGTCCTGGGTTCTATAGAAAGCAGACTGACAGACTGAGCAAGTCATGGGGAACAAGCCAGTAAGCAGCTCTCCTCCACAACTCTGCATCAGCTCCTGCCTCCAGGATCTGGCCCTGCTTGAGTTCCTGTTCTGAAGCTGGCTTAGGAGACTGAACTTCCTAGGGATGCTGGCTGCCACACCTACCGTGCTTAATTGGATGTGCCTAAGAACTAGGTCCCAGTGTGGGAAAAACCTCTCAGAACTCCACTGCTGGCTCATCACTGCCCTGGGCTCACGTTCTTGAGAGCGTGTATCCAAGACCGAGTAAGGGAGATGTGCTGAGTCCAGGATGGCAGATTCTCTCTCTCATCCATTTTCCATCCTCTCAACAGCCACAGATGCACACACACACACACACACACACACACACACACACACCACACAGTACACATATATGTACACATACACACATATGCACATCACACACACCCACACATAATACACATATACATACACGCATATCACATGCACATACTTGTGCGTCTCAAGTCCCTTACCCGTGCTGTTTCTCACTTGTGCCAACACTCTGTTGCTCATGCATTTCCCACCTGCAGATCATTATGCTGTCTCTGGCATTTTCAAAGCCTGGAGCCTGACACAGACCAAGCATTTCAAAGTAGACAACTTGAAAGCACCAGGCAATCGGCATGCAAAAGGGTGTAGCCACTATGGGAATCATTTACATATGGCTGGTGATGGAATAGGGTTCAGTTGACAGAGTTGCCTGTGGGTTCTCAAGTCAGATGAGGGGTGGTAGAGCCTTGCCCATACCCCAAACATCTCTCAGAGAGCATGGCAGGAGTGGGGCTGCTCTCTACCCAAATCAGGCTTGGGCCAACTCAACTCTACAGAAACAAAGGCCAAATCATGATAAAGTCAGTCAAGATTCTGTTCCTCCCCAGGGAAGGGGCTTCTCAGAAATCATGTGGATGGCAGTCTGCTAATCTGACTGAGGGCTTGGAGAGTCCCTGTCCCCACTGCAGCGCTTCCTCCTTGGCCTCTTCCCTCCCCTATCCCCATTTAAGCTAGCCTCACCATGTTAATAAGTGAGCTGTCCTCTGAAACCGTCTCTAGGGTCATAGCTGCCATCCTCTCTGTTGTCCAAGACCCTGATCTCCAGCTCCTCCGCATCCTGGGACCACAGGTGCACAAAAGGCCAGTGGGGCTTGGGGACCCACACTTGCCTACATACACTTGAGCCCTGAGTTGGATCTGTAGCACCAACGACAGAAATACACACCTGTAATCCCAGTTACGGAAACGTGGAGACAAGAAGATCAGAAATTCAAGGTGATCCTCAGCTACAGAGCAAGTCTGAGGCCACTCCGAGCTACCTAAGACTCTGTCTTTAAAAGCATGTTTGTTTTGGTTGCAATGGAGAAACCAAGTTGGAGCTCACTGAAAAACTCCATCCCTGCTGGTGTGTCAAAGGTGCCAAGCAGGCCGCTGCAAGGGAAAGTGACCAGAACTTATTTGCTGGGAGAGCCTTCACACCACAGCACAATCTGTCGGGGTCCATGGGTACACTAGGGCATGCTGGCTATGGGATAACCTGCTCTCAACTGAGTTCAGGGTCTCCTCCACAGAAGGAGGTCAGCCTGGGAAGGTCACAGGCCCCACAGGGGAATGTACTACTGTTGTTTTGGTAAGTGGAAATAAGTCAAACTGCTGAGGTATTTATATTCATACCCACAGTCCTGAGTGCTCAACCTCAAAGGAGCTGCTCTCTGTAGTGAGCAGAAGTCGATGCAGAGATGCATAGCTGGTCAGCGTGCTAAGAAAAGTGACTGAGGGCTCCGGCCTAAAGGGACATCTGTGTTTACCCCCACTCAAGACTCAGGAAACTGGGGACAGGGAGGAGCTGTAGAATGCCATGCTGTGGACATGGCATGGCTACTGTACACACGAGCCCACAGCAGCTGTGGTTACCTACACAAGATAAGGACGTTTCAGCATGCTTAGGGGAAGGACATAGGAAGCACCACCCTTAGCTGGGGAAATAGTGGCATTTGATGCTAATTTAATTTAATTGTGTGGCTACTGGTGGGTTGCCCATTGTCCTGGTGACTTTTTATTGTCAATTCCACACAATCTAGAGCAGTGGCTCCCAACCTGTGGGTCATGATCCCTTTGGCAAGCCTCTGTCTCCAAAAATATTTACATTACGATTTTCATCAGTAGCAAAATTACAGTTATGATGTAGCAAGTAAAATAATTATATGGTTGGGGGTCACCACAATGTGAGGAACTGTATTAAAGAGTGGCAGCATTAGGGAAGGCTGAGGACACTGTGCCTTCACTGTGTCCCTCACCTGAGAAGAGGGAACTCCAAATGAAGAACCGCCTCCATCAGGATGGCCTGCGGCCATGTCTGTGGGGCACCATCTTGACTGCTAGTCGCTGCAGGAGGATACAGCCCACTGTGGTGGTGTTGCCCCAGGCAAGTGGGCCCGAGCTGTGTAAGAAAGGCAGCTGAAAAAGTCAGAGGGCAAGCCAGTAAGCACCAGCCAGCCCTCCACGGGTGGGGAGCAAGCCAGCAAGCACCAGCTAGCCCTCTACGGGTGGAGAGCAAGCCAGCAAGAACCATTCCTCCACGGGTGGAGAGCAAGCCAGCAAGAACCATTCCTCCACGGGTGGGGAGCAAGCCAGCAAGAACCAGTCCTCCATGGGTGGGGAGGAAGCCAGCAAGAACCATTCCTCCACGGGTGGGGAGCAAGCCAGCAAGAACCATTCCTCCGTGGGTGGAGAGCAAGCCAGCAAGCACCAGCCCTCCACAGGTGGGTTCTGCTTTGAATTCCTGGCCTAACTTACTCAGTGAAGGACTGTGGCCTGGAAGGACAAGATGAAATAGACGTGTCCCTTCCTTATGTCTGAGGGCTTTATCACAGAGGCAGAAGAGAACACTAGAACATCTATGTAAAAATGACAAACATGGCCAGGGCGGTGGTAATGCACACCTTTAATCCCAGCACTGAGGAGACAGAGACAAGCATATCTCTGTGAGTTCTAGGCCAGTCTGATCTACAGAGTAACTTCCAGGACAACTAAGGCTACACAGAGAAACCCTGTCTCGAAAACAAAACAAAAGACAAACACAACCTGATACACCATAGAGGGCTGATATCCATGGGAAACCTGCCTGTATCTGAAGAGAAACAGTGGAGGAGGAATGGATGTGGGGAGAGACGAGGGAGGAGGTAGGAGAGGAACCGGGAAGAGGGGAGGGAGGGGGAACTTTGGGATGTAAAAACAAACAGAAATAAATAAATAACACAAAAATAAACAAACACATCACCCCATGAGCATGCAAAACTGCTTTTATTTATAATAGATCTCAAATTTACGCACACAGAAAGTATTATGTTAAATTTCTTTATGATTCCTTATCAGGA